AAAAAAAAAAAAAAAAAAAAGAAAACGGACCAAAAAAAAAAAAAAAAAATGACTGTTCATAATTTNTAAAAATTTTTATAAAAATGTAAGGAAATGAGAAGAATACAAAAAAAAAAAAAAAAATAAAATAAAATAAAATAATAACATTAAAAATAATAGAAATAGTAATAATAATAAGATTTAGAGTAATGTTATAATAATGTTAAAGATTATAATATAAAAAAAAAATTAGATTATTATTTTATTATGTAAACTATTTTTTTCATCTAGTGATACTTAAATTCAAAATAATTCTGTTTTTAATTTGATATTTCATAAATATAAAATAGCAAAGCACTATTTTTATTTTGTAGATTATATTTTTATAATAAATAAATATGAATAAAAAGTTAAAACATAGTAATAATTACTAAATCTATATAGTTTTTATATAATTAAAAGTAAATTACAAACTATTTTTTTAATGAACAAAAGTTGTCTTTTGTTTATTACCTTACTGTGTATCTTTATAAGAAATTATAAAAGAAAAAAGTATACAATATCAATGAAACAAATAAATCATCTTTCAATATGTAGGTTTTTAATAAAATTTATTTATTTTTGAAAAATTTTGAAGCAATATAACAAATATAATTAAAAGCAAACTTTAATGATTATTGTAAATTGTTCATATTTTTTGTATGTTGTAAATATATGTAAGATTAAATTTAATATAAAAATAAACATTTGATTATTTGAAAAGTATTCTTTATATAGCTTATTGTTGAATTTAGTTTTAAAACAAGATAAACTAAATTATTTATTTGATTAGCATAAAGATGAATACATTTATTGTTAATATTAGAAAGAACTTAATATTACTTAACGAAAAGTTGTAAATTCTCTTGTAAATTTATTACTAAGATTTGTTTTTATTTGATGAACAAATAATTAAGTATTATGCATTACTTTTAATTTCCTTTTTTTTTTTTTTTTTTTTCTTTTTTTTTTCGTAATTATAGTTTTAACTTTTTTCATTTAAGTATTATTTGTTTACTTAGATATGAATAATATAATATCAATTTCATCTTAATAAAAATTAATGTATCTCTTATATCTTTTTATAAAATAATTATTTACAAAATAAATAAAAGAAGATATAGTAAAAAACATGAATAAACACTATTGTAAGATAATATTCTTATTATAATTAATAAAAAGTTGTGTTAGTAAATACAGTTTATTCACTTACAATTTATACATGTATATTTTAAATTAAAATCAAAATTTATCGGAGACTTACCCAAATAAAGATGAATTAAAGGCAAAATTTTGAGCAGCGCAATCTCTGAATTCTACGTAAACTCTTCTAGGTTTAACATTGAGAGTCATTTGAAGAATTTTAGTGATTTTATCAGCTAAGGATGAATTATTTGATTTATTAATCCCACCTATACTTGTCAATCTAACAAAACAAAAATCGTCATTACTTCCACCAAATCTTAAATTCTTCTGATAATCGTAATTGCTCATAATGTAACTAGAAGGTTTACTCAATACAGCAGATATAACTATGTAAAAGCAAAAATTAGTGTAATTATTATTATATTTTTATAAAAAGTAATAAGTAAAGAATAATGATATATTTATATTATTAAGATAAATTCCATGAAATAAAAAAAAAAAAAAAAAAAAAAAAAAAAAGATATTAGCATTAATAAATACTCATGGTAAAAATTTTATTATTTTATTTTACCATTCTCCAATTGACCTAAAGTATTTTGAATAGAATCTTCAGGGACGTTTATATTGGTAATCAATTCACAGCAAGGCATTTTGAGATTTAATTTAAAATATAAAAAAGATAAAATTATAAATAAAAGGAAAAAAGCAAAAAAGTATATTTTATAAAAAAAAAAAAAAAAAAAAAAAAAATTTTACTTTTTGGGAATGAAAGAGTAAAAATATTATATGAAGTATAATTAATTTATATTAAACTTTTTTAAATTAAATACATTTAATTGGATATAATAAAAAAAAGTTGAGTCGCTAAATTTTGTTAAATATATTTCTTATATGCTGAAATCATTATCATACATAAATATGTGCACAAATATAAATAGTGAAAAACAAGAAAAAAAAAACATATAAAATAAAGAATTTTAAAAAATTATTTAAATTTTATAAAAATAGCATTAAGAAAAAATATATATAAAAAAAAGGAAATATTAAATAAATAATTATTAAAAAAACACATATATAATGAAGTAGAAATAAGTATTTGTTAAATTATAGTTAACACATTTTTAAGAATAAATTTATATTCTATGTTTTTTTAAAAATAATCATATTATATATAATTATATATAATTATTTTTTTCTACTTCATTTCATAGCTTCTTAATGTGTTATAATTTAAAAAGGAAACTAAATAAAAATTAAAATAATATTTTTAAAACTACAATAAAAAATTTTCTCAAAAATTTAAATATATAAATAGTATATAATAATGTTTTTTCATACAATATTAATATTTTATAGCTATTTAAAAGGAATATCAAAAAAAAAAAAAAAATAAAATAAAATAAAATAAAATAAATATGTAAAATTCATTATACAAATATATAATATTTATTATGCAATGTCATAAGGTTTTTCTTGGAAGGAATGATATAAATTCTCATATGAATTATGGAAATTATTATTTTGGTTTTTCGGTAGAAAGGTTTCTGATGATTCATTGTAACCATTATTGAAAGTTGTTTTATAATGCCTTTTAATAAATAAACATACTTTTTCTTTAAATGATACATAAAATTGATTTATTATATTTGTAAAAGCAGATAAATAAACAAAAAATGTTACCAATAATAAAATTAAAAAAAAACTGGTTGATAAATAATTATAATCATTTGGTTGAATATTTTCATTAGAATCATTATTATTTAAATCTAATTTATTATCATTATTCTCTTTAGATTTTTCATCATTTGATTCATTTTCCTTTTCATTTTTAAATGATTTAAAAAAATTAAAAGATTTTTCTGAAGTATTATTATTTGTATTGAGCTCTTTATCTTTCATAAAATTTTTTATTTTTTCACTATTATCTTTATCAAAAATATGAGTACTTAATTCTTCTTTTGAGATATCAAGCAAGCTAAAAGTTTTTTCTTTTTGCGTATCATTTGACTTATTTTCCATATTAACATGTTTTGGTCTTTTAAAACTGTTTTTGTTTTCTATGTATTTTTCTTGAATAGTGAAATCTGAGAAATTTGAAGGATAATCTTCTAATTTTAAATTATATGTGTCTATTTCTTCTAAGTAATCTTTGTAATTTTGTTTTTTGTTTAATACAGTTCCATCTTTTTGAATACAACCACCATGAACGTAATCAAAACTTAATTTTTTACATTTTAGAATACATTTTTCTAGATATTTGTAATCATTAACTGACAGAGCACTTTTATCAGAAACTTCTTTACTTTCATTAGACAACGACTTAAAGCATTTATTTAGACATACTTTAAAAACTATTAAAGGATGACAATCAACATTTTCTTCATATTTATGCTCAGAATTCAAAAACGATAAATAATTAATATCATCAATATTTTCATTTGTATCATAATATTTCTTTAAAGAATTTAATTGAATTGCCTCTGAATCATCTCCTTTTATTTTATCTGAATTTAATTTTTTATATTCATTATCATCATTATCTATATTGGAATTATTATCATCATAAATCTTGTATTTATTAAAAGATGATTTTTCTCTTTTTCTCTTTTCTTCATCATTTTCCTCTGAAATAATATCAACATAACTATCATCCGTTTTCTTTTTTGTTTCAATATTATTACTACTTTTATTATCATTATTCCATAAGTTAAAAATAAAATAATTATTTTTTTTTACTTTTTCTTCTATGTTTTTATCTTGCTCATTTATATTACTTTTTCCTGTTTCATCAATTTTTAAATTTTCATTTGATGATGTTCCTTTTCTTTGCCACCAGTATGTATTTTTTTCTTTACTATTTTCTTTATCATTTGTTTTATTTGATAATGATATTTCCCTATGTTCTTTTTCAATATCCATTTGAAAATCTGATTCCTTTTTTTCTTCATTTGAATTTTTTGAAAAGAAACTAAATCCTCGTTTCTGTGTGTTTACTTTTTTATCATCTTCTATTACATCCTTTTTTTCTTCTATATTCTTATTTTTATTACTAAAAAAATCAAAAATGGATTTTCTTACTTCATTATTACTTAAATCACTTTTCTCTTCTTTATTATTTATGTTTTCCTTTTTTTGTTCACTTTCTTCATTTTTTTTATTGAACCACCAATGACTTTCATTTTTATTAGTTGTGTTATTAAATGTATTTTTCTTTTGATCATCATATTGAAAAATACCAAACAAATTTTTTTTTTCTTTTAACAACCCAGAATCTTCTCTTTCATTTTGTTCTAAGTTTTTACTATTTGATGAAAGGAACCATGAACTTTTTTTTTCTTCATTTTTTTCTGTGTTAATATTTTTGTTTTCTTCTATTTTTGTTTTTTCATTTGAAACAAAATTTAATATTTTTGAAAAAAATAAACTGTTATCTGGGTTTTGTTTCAATTTGTTTAGTTGCTCATTACTTTGTTTATCTATTTCATGTAATTCTTCATTCATAGATTTTTTAAATAAACCAAGCCAATAATTAGAGTTTTTCAATATATTTTCTTTTAATTTATCTGTATTTTTTGATATATTTGATGAATCTTTAATTATCTCATCTTTTGTGTTTTTCGTATTATCATTAATAGCTTTTATGTCTTTTTCTATCGTGTTTTCTTTGTAAAATAATTTTTTAAGTGAACAGAATATTGAATATAATATGCTAGTTGATAAATTATTATCATTTTTATTATTCTCATAGGAATTTCCCACGAATGTATCGTAAAAATTATATTTTTTTATATTAGGAATTTCTGAAGTATGTTTAATAGAATCATCATTTTTAAAACAGAATATGTCTTCAGTTAAAAGTATAAAAAATAAAATATGATATCGTAATTTCATTATTGGATACATAAAAAAGATAAAAAAAAAAAAAAAAAAAAAAAAAAAAATACTAAAAGATAGTTTATATATATTTTTCTATAAAAAGTATTACACTTTTTAAAAAAAAATATATAATTTTATT